GTTAGGGCGGCTAGGAGCTGGAACCAACTTCCAAGGGAAGTGGTGCTGGCCCCTACCCTGGGGGTCTTTAAGAAGAGGCTGGATGCCTACCTGGCTGGACTCATTTGAGTCCCGTTTCTCTTTTTGGGGTTTTTTTGTTGTTCTCCCGCCCTGGCGGGGGGTCGGGCTAGAAGATCTGCTAGGTCCCTTCTGACCCTTAATCTATGAATCTATGTGTCCCCAGAGGCTGGAGGGACATGGCAAGCTCCCAGAGGCAGTGGCAGTGCTGTTGGTGGCAGGAGCATGGTGGCGGTAAGCAGGGAGCTTCCACAGGCAGCCGTGGCACTGTCGGCGGTGGGGGGAGGGGGTGGTGAGCACCAACCAACGATTGGCGACCACCCACAGACACCGCCGGCAGCAGCAGCCAGCAGCAATTGCGGACCGCCCGCGGACACAGGCAGCACAGTGTTGGTGATGGGGGGGTGGGGGAGTGGTGACTGCCCACAGGTGCTGCTGGCGGTGTCGGCAGCACCTTTTCGCAGGGGGTGCACCATCATGCTCAGGGGGTGCACGTGCAACCACATGCACCCCCTACGCATCGCAAATGTACAGGAGTAAACTGAGCTAGCACCTTTTATACCGGTAAAACTATGTGCACCAAGGGAGTCAGACCAATTCAACTACACAGGATTTGTTTCTAAATCCCTACAAGGCCCACAGAGCGATGTCATCCAGCCCATGGCCTCCCCGTGGTTCCAGAAACTTTCAGGGCCTTAGCAATTAACACTGCTACTGCTCCCTGCCACCAAATTTCTAGATTTGTGGGGAGCCAGGACCTGTACCAAAACCTTATAACAATGGTAAATTTTTAAGGAGATACAAAATATTTGCATTGGATGATCTCACAGTTAAAGAACAAGACAGGGAGTCAGAAACTCTGGATGCCTGGCTCTGTCTAACATATTCTGGGTGACTGTGGGCAGGTCACTTACTCACTGGGAACCTTAAGGGTCCTGAAAACCATGTTTGCAACCTACTACAGATTTACGAGCATAATTTTTTATGTTTAAGCTTGAAAATTTTCGCCTTACCAGCCTTTCTCTGCCTCGACTTCCTCAACAGAAAGAAAAATGAGTAAATAATATTTACCTACCTCATATGTGTGACATGTAATCATTAGTGTTTACAGGGAGCTTTGAAATCCCCAGATGGAAGGCAGCAAAGTATTCATGAGGTTGGAAGAGTGACCGTGAAAAGACTCTCAAGGAGTTTGCCGCTCAGAGCACATCTCCTGGATTGCTGGTCAGGAGGAGTGAGTATGATCCTTGTGGTTTAATCTCCCACTGAAAGGAACAGTGTCTTCCTCTGTGTTTGTCAGGTGGTACTCATACAACAGTGCTCCATAAATATTGATAAAATATGTTGCGTTACATTTCTCATTTGTGTTTACTCTCAACATGAGATCCTTTTTAAAGAGCTGCAATAAATTAATTGTATTTTATGTTACAAAATAAAAGTAAAACTTGTTAAATGGAAGTATGAAGTATGTTACTTCAAAAATAATGTGAGGTACTATAAAACTAAATGTATTGTATTTATACAATACATTGAAAAAATGTATAAAATTGGTAGGTTTTTTCCACTTATAATATTAATATTTACTGTTTCTCTTTTTCTGTCCGCCTTTTATATATTTACCTTCTGGATGTGAAGAAGTCTCTTCAAAACTAGTACTAATTTAACAGACTTATTTTGTTTATAAGTACAATTTCATTTGTAGTTAGGTGGCTTCCTTAGACTTTAAATTTGTTGTAGTTGTACTACAACTGGTGCAGCTGAACTGGTGAAACCAATGACTAGCATGACCAATGGCTCTCAGCCTTCTTAGACTTGAGGCAGCCCTCGGAAAATACCAACTCTTACTTTTGTTTCATTTTTTGACTACAGAAAAATAATTGCACATTTTTTTTCTGTTTCAAAGCACTTAGACAACAGGTTGAAATGCTTTTAACACTATAGGGTGCCTACACAAGCTCCAGGTTGGCAGGGGGAGGGGCATGTTTCAATTAGAGTGGCTCTTGGGAGCTGCTCTAACTAAAACCACAGCAGCTCATGTATTCAGCTCCTCACATTTCAAAATGGCCACGTTGGCACTTTAACTAATGTCTGACGGGCTTTAATTAAAGTGTCCCTGCCATTGAGATGCTGAATACGAGACTCTGCAGCCTGTTGGAGCATTCTAATTAGAGTGCACCAGTAGACTTGATTAACCGAGTCAAATCAGAGTGCGTGAGAGCATGTGTATAGGCACCCCGATTCCCATTTGAAATCTGTGTTTCTCTTTTGAATCATGTTTGCACACCTAACAATGCTACCATTGTATGGCACCCAGCATTACCCTTGAAAGAATCTCAAGGCATCTGTAGCAGGTGCTTGCCCCAAGGACAGTCCTGGTGCCACCTAGAGGCCAAGCAACTCATGCCCCACTCTGATTCCTTGAGGTGCCCTCCCTTATCTACCTCGCCAACATCCCTTGATGAACTTACAGCACCCAGGGGCCAGAGTGAGCCTCAGTCCCTCAGCTCTCTTGTGCCCTCCACCTTAGCCATGTCCATGCCCTGTGGGTCTTACACTGGCTGTGCCTTTCAGCTGAGGTCCACTGCCCTAGACCTTGGCTTCTGAGCCCCAGCCCTGGTTTTGCTCTCTTGTGCTCTGGGCTCCTCTGGTCTCGCCCTCTTGGGTCCTGGTTTTGCCCTTTTAGGCTTCAGGCCCTTGGGCCCTGATCTCTTGTGGCAGCCCTGGGGCTCCCTGATCTGAGCAAGGCTGCTATTGCATAGCCCCCTGAGGGCCCCTGCCCCAGGCAAGGCTGCCCTCATTCTACTCATCCCCCTGGGGTCTCTGACCCTTATAAGAGTCTAAGCTGGGTGCCCCTCAGGCATCCCTGTGGCCTCCATACCACCCCCATAGCCACAAAAGTGACATAAGCCTGTGGCTCCTTTTCACTGCACCCCAGGGTGCCACTGCACTCTGGTTGAGAATCACTGGCATAGACAGACTGTGGTATTTCCCAGTATTTTAATCTTTGTGTCAAGTTGACCTGCTTTGAGCAAAGTGGGATCACTGAGGAGCTGAAGTGTCACTGAGCCAGCTATGTAGTCACCTCAAGTGCTGAAGCTGCAGCAATAGAAATTTTAATTAAAAGCTTAGTTATGATGGAAAAAGGATTATGTGGCAGAATAGTGACCTCTAGTGACCAGTTTCGTTAATCACAAGTAATAAGAAGCTGTTCCCAAATATTTTGCAGTAATCAGCTTAGGTTAATCGTGTCCCTTCCAGTATTTCTGAAAGAATCTGCGTAACATCCAAAGCTGAATCATGCTTCATTTATTTTGTTATACATAAAGTCACCATTAAAGTATTGATACGACAATTTATAAAGCAGCTTTTCTATAACAACATTATTTTCCATGTGTCTTTGTCTCTTGTGCCTGCTTTCCAATTTTGTTTCCCACTTTTCAGCTCCTTGATACCTTGTTTTCCTTGGTTTCCATATTTCCCCCTGAGACTGCCTCCTCTGTGTTTTCTTTTCATAGCATTTTTCTCCAATACTCTTGCCTGTCAGAGATGTTTTCTGAATCTGATTTGGCCTTTGTCCCCTTGTCTAATTCCACTTGCAGGGATTTCTATCCTTTTCCTCCGTCAATATCAGCGTTTTCCCATCCTTACAATCAGCAGTCTTCTACATCCCCATACCTCTTTGTCCTGTAATAAGGGTTAAAAGCTTGCATCACCACCAAACCATTCAATACTGACCTTTCAAGTACAGATGAGCATTCAGTATGGTCGGTGTGTTACTTGTGAATTCACTTTTTATCGCCTTCCAAATTTGGAAGCATTGACAGCCCTGATAATGATATGTAAGCAAGGGAGTATCAAGCCATTCAAGAAATGAATTCACTGTTTCTACCCCACAAAAGAAGATGTACATTTCTTTTAGATGAATCACAGTGCCTGCCTCCTCACTTCTGGTTTCCTTAATGGAACGCCATTAAAGCCAAGGTCCTTTTGTATGTGGCCTCTAAGACATCCTACATCTTTGTGGACAGTTGCTTATAGCTGAAGTTGTCTTAGACACCATTGTTTATAGCTTGATTTCCATCGGTGGCTGCGGAGAGCTTTAGAGGCAGCTACCTCTAGAGCAGTGGTGACTCTCAGCCCTCTTGGACCAGGGCCCATTGGTAAACATCAGTGCCAGCCCCCACCCGTGCCCCTCCCTCGGCCCAGTGGTGCCCTAGCATCCCCTCGCAGACCCGAGCTCTGCCAACCTGCAGGGAAAAAGCCGCCGTTTCCCACTTTTTCTCCTTTAAAAAGAGAATCCTTTTCTAAAGTTGGTTGGTGACCCCGCCCGCTATTCCTGCAGCCCAGGGGTTGGGAAGGCTTTGCCTACACTGGGAACGAATCCTAAAGCTGGACGAGTGTTTTCCTGTTTCAAGCAGGGGGGAGAGTTCGAGCTTTCTCTGCCCCGGAGGGGAAACAGCAGCAGCCAGGCCCGCTAGCGACGCGCGGCTAACTCCGGCCCGGCCCAGCCGGGCTGTTCTCAGCCCGCGGCCAGGCTCCGGCTCAGGCCCCGCCCCCGGGCCGAGACCGAGACTGGGGGGGGCGTTCCCGGACGTGGGCGGGGCCCGGCGCGGCGCTGAGCGGAGCCGGAAGCGGCTAGTGTGGGGGTTTCCGCCATGGAGGGGCCGGGGGTAGGCCCGGGCCCAGGGTCTGCGCGGCCACTCACGGAGGACGAGATGGCGGAGGTGAAAAAGGAAGTAAGCGACACGCTCCTCCTCCCCCCGACCAACCGCCGGGCAGGTCCTTGCCGCCCCGGGCTCCCCGCGGGGCCCAGCGCTGCTTCCCGCGCGTACCCGGGCAGGGCGGGGCCCGGGGTCTTGGCGCTGCCCCGGCGCCGCTTCCGCACGTGGGGGGAGGGAGCAGCCCCCGAAGAGAAGGGCAGGGCAGGGGCCAAAGGCCGCCGCTGCCGCTTCAGGCTTTCAGACCCGCCGGCACCTCCGCGGCGCTGGTGTTCGCTGGGCGTGGGGACCCTCCCGGCCCTCTGTGCGCGGTGAGCCCCCCCTCCGCACCTGCCGGGAGGGTGCGGGCTGCTCAGGGGGAGTGGGAGGGAAAGCCCCAAGCTTTACAGCTGTGGCAGTTCAGCTGCAAAGGGGAAAGCGGCAGCAGGTGCCCGGCCAGGCCCGAAAGGAGGCGATGGGAGACGCTTCTGCACTGCGCAGAGCGGAATGGCGCAGGTCAGGTCGGTTCAGCGTAGACTGAACTGCTCCTTGGCAGGAATGCAGCAGTGGCAGCTGCCTCGCTTGGGATGTTGCTGAGCTGAGCAAAAGCATTGAGGTAACTGTACATGAAGTGTGTGAGGCATTTCGGTTGGTCCATCTGTTTGTTTGTAGCGCGTGGTTTAGAATAACAGGGAGAAAAAGAACAGGAAGTGACTTTAAGAAATTCAGTTCAGGGGTATCAGAGCCTCAACCTGTAGAGCCAAGTCATCCAGCCTGCAGGAAGGCGCAGGACTTGCCAGGGTTTTGGGGGTGGGGCAAGCAGGGGGTGGAGCCCGGGCCCAGATCCATAGTTGGTGAACCCCATGCTCCGTCACCCTCCTCCCTTTCCCCACTGCTGGAGGCAGGTTTGGATGTGTCTGCAAAGTTAGCCTCGTGGTCTAGATCCCACAAGTTTGACGACCCTGATCTGGTTTGGATGCTCAAGGCAGAGTCATCTTTGTCTTCTAAACTAGGGCTGTCCCACTGGCGGTCAACAAGGGGTTACATTTTGGTTCCTGGGCTCTCGCAGGGCAGCAGCTCCCCCCATAATTCCAGCTGCTGTAGCAGCCTGGAGCCCCCTCCCACTGGCTTCCCCTTCCTACTGCTGTCCCTGTCTAAAGGGGTGGGGTGGTATAGGATGGCACAGCTGGCAGTGCAGGGGGAGGCTGCAGCTCAGGATGCCTAAGTGGCACAGCACAGCTGGGAGCTAAGCAGTGAAGGGGTGGGCTCAGGGAACAGCAGCAGCAGGGGGCTCTGGCCCACAGGGTGGGGGATCATACAGCCCCTGGGGCCCACGGCCTCCACTAGTGCAGCCTCTGGCTACTTTGAAGATTGACATCCCAAATGTTTGTCCCACCTACATGTAAAACCTCAGTGACAAATTCCACAGCCTCTTCAGATAATCTTTCCCAGTGTTTCAACCATCTTTGTTGTTAGGTTATGTGTTAGGAAGACCTCTCTAACTCTTCCCAGTAGTCTCTTCTCCAGGCTAAATCCCAGTTTTTGTAACCATTGCATGATGGTTCCCTTTTAAAAATTAATTTTACTGATTCTGTGTGGCCCACCAGGTTAACTTGCTTTCAGTGTTGTGTATCCATATCTTTTTCTTCCCCGTCTCCCGCTTTTTGATAGTTCAGTGAAGAAGTTTGTGATCGTCCAGTGTTTATGTAACTTACCTGAAGTGCTTTGTCATGATTTTCTGAAACATTTTTTGTTAATGCTTCTCTTTAAGGAAACAGAAGAGAAATATTGCACTAGTTAACTAGAGGTTGCTTTCTTAAAAGATAATCCTTTATTGCATATGTGCTGACTTCAGTGTAAGTCCTTTAAATTTAATTTGATGTGCTGACTTGCTAATTTTGCACAAAGGAAAACAGTAGTTATGTCACTTCAGCTGTAATCTTGTCAAGCCCATAGCTAATGAGAGTTGGGTCAAGTCAGTCCTTGGATCTGAGATCTGTATAGAAACCTAAGGTGCTGCAGGAAGTGATGTTAGTAGCTGATGCTGTTAATACTGTTCTGAGTCGGTAAGAGATAGTACCAGTTTGATAAGAGTTGCCAAGGCACTCTTAGAGGAAATGTAAAATGGACGTGTATACTGCTTGAGGTTAGTAGAACTACAATTTCTGCAAAAGCATTGTAAGCTTTGTGCCTCAGGCCAAATGCCAGTATTGGGATTAAGAATTTAAGCTTCCAAAAATGGATTGGACATCAAGAATATCCAGTTATGTGAGTGGAAAAGGAATGTTTTAAATTTTGTGCTTCAGGGTTTTAGTCTCTCTCCAGCTCTAGAGATCAGGATAAGGTCTGGGGGGCTGGAGGTGTAGGAAGGCAGATTCACATGCCTTCTGCAGGTTTTGATATCTTGTGTTTGTCTTCATGGGGATACTAGTGAAAGTTTCAGCAAAAATTAAGCTGCTGGGTGGGACTGATGTGTACAGTAGACTGTTTGCTATAAGCTTTCCTAGCAAGCCTCTTGCTGTTAGCCCTGGTTGTCTTGAATCCCTTAGAACATCTTATTTAATTGGTGCAGAAGTCTGTTATGGGTTTGAGGTAAGTATTTTGGATGTCTTTCAGGTACAGCCTAGTGCAGGGGCAGGAAATTATTTTGGGAAGAGGGCCGCTTACTGAGTTTCAGCAAGCCATTGAGGGCTGCATGACAGGCAGCCCAGCGCAGATAAATGTTCATTTTCTAAATTTTTTAGGGGTGCTGCGGGCTGGATAGAATGGCCTGGCGGGCCACATCTTGCCCACCCCTCGTCTAGTGCAACCTTTTGGCCCTGTGGGCTAGGTGAATGGCACAGAGCTGGTCCACAGGCTGGATTGGGCCCTGGCACCCCCCTCACCCCAATCCTGGATAACAGGGAAGGAATGCGGGGAAGGGGGCCCAGTGACACCCACATACCCCAGGATTGGACCCCTGAGAGTTGGCTCCACCCCCCACATCAGGATTGGCTCTGGGTTCCAGTACTGCCTCCACATGCTGGGATTGGGCCTCAGAGACCTGGCGCTGGCCCCTGTGTGCCATGATTGGACCCAGCCAGCCCTGCATGCTGGCAGATGGTTTCCTGATCCAGCACACAGGGCCTGAGACTCACCATGGACCTGGAAATCTGGCACCAGGGCAGTGGTGCCACTGTTCCCCACCTGCCAAATTTCCAGACACATGGAGAGCCCTATGGATGGGTTGATACTGCGCTGGGAGTTGACCATGCATGGTCTAGTTCATAAAATGTTTGCCTCAATATTGCTGCCATAGATGGAATACTGCTGCCCTTCTTGGAAAAGTAAGTTCTCACCTTTTTAGTAAAAAAAAAGTTTTCTTCTGTCCTCAACTGCGTCTTGAGTCCGTTTGTCTCACACTTGTCTCCGAGAGTGCAAGCACCTGTGTAGCCCCTTACTTTATTTAATTCTTCCTCTTTGCCCACCCCTCTTCTCTTTTTTCCTTAATAGAGCAAGGAAGCTGTGAGAGGTATTCAACTTCGTAATCAACAAGTGGTGTATTTTTGAGCTTCTTTTAACTTCCATACAATAAAAAATACTGACAGGAGAGTAGTGAAATAAGGTCTTGCTTCCACTCTACTCCTGAAGGTGCAACTCAAAGTGGAAGAGTGAAAGTACGATACAGGTGACAGAGAATGTCTTTGCTTATGAAGAAGGGGAAAGAATAGTGGTTGGTACAGAGACAAAGAAATGAGACATGAGGCACTTTTCATTAGAAATAAGACATAGTTTAAGGATTAGAAAAACTGCTTAAAATTCTGTCTTCCACTTTCCAAAAAACTGTAATATATTAGATACATTCTCTGATTTCTCTGATATCTTCTATATGTATGTATGTGTGAGCATGAGACACTTCTCTTTTTAAGCCAAAAGAAGAACAATTTATATAAGGTAAAAATAAGGAAAACCCATTTGCCTTTCCATTCGCACACCTATAATGATATGTTAAGGACCCACTGGCCCTCCTTCACAGTACAATGGAGAGGGAGAGAGAAGCAAGAGCATGCATCAGCATGCTTTACACACATGAAATGTGGCCTTGTTTGACTGTTTCTGTTTGTGTAAAATTGGGATTTAGTTTGCATTTTTTTTCTTTAAGGCACAAACTCAATGCAGACCCAAAGCCCTAGATAACTATTTTTACCCCTAGTAACATTAGTCAGTTCCTCAGCAGCAGTTACTTCGTGGTGGAATTATGAATCTCCGACATTACAGTGATATTGTAAATGGTAAATATTTATCTTTTTTTTAGGAAAGTCACACAGGGCAAATTAATATTTATCAAGTCATGTTTCCATACTCAAATGTCTGTTTTGAACAGACATAAGTATATAGATTAAAGGCAAACCATCCTTAACCTAGCTCACTGGTGAGGGATTAAGCCTCAATTACCAGTCATTATTTCTGGTTAACATTTAAAATGTATTTGTCAACTGAGTTTGGTTTAATGGAAAATTAGTCAAATGTGAAAGGTTTCTCATGGGTAGATACAGGGCCGTCCTTGGAGGGTGTGAACTGGGGCAACCAGCCCAGCCCTCGCGCTTTGTGGGGCCCTACAGAACCAGGCGGAGAGGTTGCAGCTGCAGTTTAGCCCACCCAGCGGGTTGAATGGCTCTTTGCCTGTTCTGGCCAGAAGCTCCGGCCCCCACCTGTCCTGCCGTGTCCGGTGTGCTGGGGCTTTCACTTCCTGACATACATATGCTGTGGTATAGGGAGGGTGGCCCCACGCAGGCTGCTTTGCCCTGGGCCCCGCACCCTGCTAGGATTATTTCTGGGTAGATACACGTGGCAATACTCAAGTCGGTGTACAGTAAAAGTTACATAGGGGAGCAAAAGCCTCTCTGGCTGTTATGTAATGACACTCGGGTCTCTGATTCTTACATGTTACTTGATATACTAGATAATGACATCTCAATTTGACATTTTTATTTTTTAGCATGTTATTTCTGTCTTTCTTTTAGGCTTTAGAAAGGATGCGTCCTTATTTATGTGACAAAATCATAGCTGAGAGACACTTTGATTACCTACGATCAAAAAAAATTCTTACTAGAGAGGACGCCGAAGAAATTTCTTGTCGACCCTCAAGTAGGAAAAAAACTGGCAAGTTATTGGACTATTTAGCAGAAAATCCAAAGGGACTCGATACTTTGATTGAATCTATCAGACGAGAGAGAACACAGAACTTCCTCTTAGAAAAGATAACTGATGTGGTGTTGAAGGTCAAAAATGAAAAACTTGAAGCTCTCAAAGGTGAGTTATTTAATAGTAAAGTAGAGGATATTTTGAGGATATCTGTAAAAAAAGTAAATCAGAAGAACTGTCATGTTACCTTACTATTTTTTTTAAGCATTTTTCTTTGATAGTAGGGTTTCAGCCTTTGAAGTCTTATCTTGCAGGGCAAGTCAGTCCTGTCAGACTTGTACTTAAACCCCAAGGGGTAAGTGTAGAGTCTTCTGTTTTTTACCATGCTAATCATAGAGATGCATAACCACAAAAGTGAATTACGTTATGCTCAGGGATCCTAGTTTTCTCTCTTTAAAAATCCCAAAAATCTCTTTATAAAAATTCTAAAATTCTCTCATTAAAACCCCTCAAATCCGTGTTTTTCCATGATTAAAATGAAATGCCATTATATGTAGATATCACTTGAACACAATGTTTTATTGATATATTTACAATTTTAAAGCAATTTGGAAGCCTGCCAATGCCTCAGTTTATAATAAATTCTAAACACCTATATATTTTGGTGTTTGATTTTTTTTATCATGGAAAATCAGAGCTTATAGGTCCAGCTGCAGCTATTCTCCCCCCCCAGATT